CGCTCAGTGTAAGGAGAAGGAGCAGGCAGCGGTGAGCCAGGCTGTAACGGAAGACCAGTAGATGAAGGGAGACTAAGAACCTGGCGAAGCACAGAGTCAGACGGTGGCTGAGACGACGGAGACGGTGGAGCAAAGAACAGGCGCGGCTGTGCAGCGCCACCAGCACCAACAGTTCCAGCACCCTCAGCAGCTCCAGCAGCTCCAGAACCCTCAGCTCCAGCTCCTCCAGGACCAGCTCCACCAGCAGCAGCACCCCCAGAACCGGCACCTCCAGTCCCAGGGTCTCCAGCAGTAGTACCCTCAGGCTCAGCACCACCAGCCCCAGCAGCTCCAGTACCTCCAGTACGAGCACCTCCGGGACCAGCACCACTCCCAGCTCCAGTGACGTCAGCAGAAGTACCTCCAGCAGCAGAGCCCCGAGCTCCAGAAGCGCGACCCTGACGGCGACCGTACCAGTCGTGCAGCTGCTGAGAGGTGAGAGGCACATGCGGACGAAGGCAGCCACTCCAAGGAGACCGCGCAACAGCAGACTCAGAACCCTCAGCGCCAGCACCCTCAGTAGCTCCAGAACCTCCAGCTCCAGCGCCACCAGCGCCAGCACCTCCAGCAGCTCCAGAACCTCCAGCTCCAGCACCCTTAGCAGCTCCAGAACCTCCAGCAGAAACAACTCCAGTAGTAGAGTAACCAGCGCCAGCTCCTCCCGCAGCAGGTCCCCTAGCTCCAGCAGCGCGACCCTGACGGCCAACGTACCACTCAAGCAGCTGCTGTGGGGAGAGAGGGAGTCGACGACGAGAGGGCAGCGGCGAGGCACCAGCGGAGCGACTACGCAGACGGCCGCTCCAGGGAGACTGCTCACCAGACGCCTCAGCGCCCCCAGGTGCAGCACCCCCAGACTCAGTACCCCTAGGCTCAGCACCCCCAGACTCCGCACACCCAGGCTCCGCACCTCCAGGCTCAGCACCCCCAGGCTCCGCACCCCCAGGCTCAGCACCCCCAGAAGCAGCACCCCGAGCAGGACCGCTCTCAGCAGGACTTGAGTCACCAGTGACCTCAACGGGCGCAGTCAAGGGAGGAGGGTCTACTTGAGACACACCTGAAGGCGCAGGACCGGGAGCGGGGAGGGGGTCTACCTGGGGAGCACCTGGAGCGAGGAAGAGCGGCGGGGGGGGGGGGGGGGGGGCAGTGCGGTAGGGGAAGAGACGGTAAAAGGGAACCGACTCGTCGAATGTGACGTCCTGAGAGGGGAAGACACGGCGCGAGGTGGGGTGGTAAAACTGCCAACCAGGCGCGTCAGGGACAAAGCCAAGGAAGACACAGGGAACAGCGCGGGCGGAGAGCTTGTCCGCGGTGGTATCGCGGACAAAGGCACGAGCACCCCAGACCCGGAAACGCGACGCATCGCCAACCTTCCCCGTCCACAGCAGTGTGGGCGAGGTCTCCGGCAAGGAGACACGGGGCCAAAGGTTGAGCTGATGCGCGGCGTACCGGACCGCAAACGGCCACAGAAAATGGGGGGCAGCCGCATGGATCATGGAGGTACGAGCGACCTCCATGACTAAGCCAATGCGGCGCTCAGCAACCCCATTCTGCTGCGGAGAGGCCGGAAGCGTGAACGTCTGGCGGATGCCGTGCTCCGCACAGAAGGCTGCCAAGAGTTCTGAGGAGAACTCACCACCTCTGTCAGAGTGCAGACGCAGGACAGGAAAGTCCGACTGGAACCGCTCGCGGAGCTGGAGACATGCAGCGCGGATCCAAGGGATCAAAACATCAGGGACGTCACCCTTGGTGCGCAAGGGGAAGACCGTGGTGTAGCGCGTGTAGTCGTCGACGACCAGCAGAAAGTACCGCTCGTGGCCCTGTCCACGGACGCGGGCTGGGCCCCACACGTCCAGGTGGAGAGTCTGCAAGGGAGCCTCTGTGGGAGGGAACGAGGAGGAGTGAGGAGCGGCGCGCTGCCGCCCCTCGACACAGGGAAGACAGGGAGGAGCAGGCGAGGGTGGGAGGGGAGGGAGAACCCTGGGAAGACCAGAGACAAGGACACGGCGGTGCATGCTACGAAGGCGCTGCACCGAGGGGTGACCAAGGCGGTGGTGCCAAAGGAGGGTCTGGTGCGACAAGGCGCGACACGAGCAGGGGGCCGCTAGCTGACCTGACGCAGACGCAGACGCAGCTACCTGAGGGGACTCAGTGGTCAGTGTGTACAGGCTCGACCCCGGCTGCCGAGTGAAGGTAGCCAGGTGACGACCCGTCTAAGCACACGTGCAGTGTGTCACACGCTCGTAGGCAGGGGTGAACTGGTGAACACCCGCGTCCTAGAGCGCAGAACCCGCCACCAAGTTCGTAGAGAACGAGGGGAGGTAAAGACCCGACAGTGTGCCGGACGGGACAGCAGGACAAGGGAGGACAGTGGTGGAGGTCGCACGGACTGGACCCCCAGAGGGGTCTGCCAGGGAGACTGCAACCGGCCGACTGAGCGGCGTAAGGGTGTTGCTGTCGCGAAAGAAGGAGTGAGAAGCACCGGAGTCAAGTGTGAAGGTGTACAAGGCCTCAGTAGGTGCAGTACCAGAGAGAGCAGACTCACCAGCACCTGGAGCAGCAGCCTCACCAGCACATAGAGCAGGAGACGCACTAGCACCTAGAGCAGCAGCCTCACCAGCACCTAGAGCAGCAAGCTCTATACCTGGGTCAGGCGGTACGCACAGGTAACAGGCGCGGTCAGCACTAGTAGGCAATGCATACATGGCAGTGAGAATAACATCATAGTCAAGAGCAAAGATATCTACTCTCTGTCCAAGCAGCTCCAGCCAGTTGGGGAGCTCAGCCTCGTCGCCAAACTCGGTACGCCAGGCGTCGCTCAGACGGGCGAAGCAGCGGGACTGTGTGTGGCCAGGCGTAACGCAAGGCTGACCAACCCGATCACCTGTGCGAATGACGTACGGGCAGCGAACTGGACTCAAAGATCCTCTACTCTGAGCGTACCACTCACGAAGCTGCTGGGGCGTAAGTGTCTCGCGCGGACGCCGCTGCAGCTGCAGCTGGCCACTGCCAGACGCTCCCGACTGACCAGCTCCAGGGCGACAGCCCCGACGGCGACCTCCACAGCCCCAACTATTGTACCACTCACTAAGCTGCTGGGGTGGAGAGACTCACGCGGACGTCGGTGGAGCTGCATTTGGCCACCGCCAGTAGCAGCAGAAGCAGTAGCAAGTAGGGCAGGCGCGGCAGGCAGGCAGGCAGGCAGTCAGGCAGTCAGGCAGGCAGGCAGTCAGGCAGTCAGGCAGGCAGGCAGGCAGGCAGTCAGGCAGGCAGGCAGGCAGGCAGCCGGCGCTGCAGTGCGCGAACAAGGCAGGTGCTCACCAGTGGTGGGAAGGGCAGGCGCTCGCCGGGCGAGCAGGGCCGGCTGCTCTGGGTCCAGGGGCTGCTGCTCTGGGTCCAGGGGCGGCTGCTCGAGGGTCCAGGGGCGGCTACACCAGGGGCGGCTGCTGCAGGGTCCAGGGGCGGCTGCTGCAGGGTCCAGGGGCGGCTGCACGGAGTCCAGGGGCGGCTGCACCAGGGGCGGCTGCTTCAGGGGCCAGGGGCGGCTGCTCTGGGTCGAGGGGCAGCTGCTCCAGGGGCGGCTGCTTCAGGGACCAGGGGCGGCTGCTGCAGGGGCCAGGGGCGGCTGCTCTGGGTCCAGGGGCGGCTGCACCAGGGGCGGCTGCTGCAGGGGCCAGGGGCGGCTGCTCTGGGTCCAGGGGCGGCTGCTCCAGGGGCGGCTGCTTCAGGGGCCAGGGGCTGCTGCTCTGGGTCCAGGGGCGGCTGCTCGAGGGTCCAGGGGCGGCTGCACCAGGGGCGGCTGCTGCAGGGTCCAGGGGCGGCTGCACGGAGTCCAGGGGCGGCTGCACCAGGGGTGGCTGCTTCAGGGGCCAGGGGCGGCTGCTCTGGGTCGAGGGGCAGCTGCTCCAGGGGCGGCTGCTGCAGGGGCCAGGGGCGGCTGCTCTGGGTCCAGGGGCGGCTGCTCCAGGGGCTGCTGCTCTGGGTCCAGGGGCGGCTGCTCCAGGGGCGGCTGCTCCAGGGGCGGCTGCTCCAGGGGCGGCTGCACCAGGGGCGGCTGCACCAGGGGCGGCTGCACCAGGGGCGGCTGCTGCAGGGTCCAGGGGCGGCTGCACGGCGTCCAGGGGCGGCTGCACCAGGGGCGGCTGCTTCAGGGGCCAGGGGCGGCTGCTCTCGGTTCAGGGGCGGCTGCTCCAGGGGCTGCGTCGCTGGTGCAGGGCAGCGCGCGGGTCCCACAGGCGCCGCGACTGGCGACGGGGGGCAGCGCGCAGGCCAGGCGGGGCCGCGTCGGCGGCAGGATGGGGCCGCGACAGCGACCTGGCGAGGCCGCGTCGGCGGTCGTAGAAAGCAGCGCGAGGGCTGCGGAGAGGCGCGCGGGGCAGGAGAGGGCAGCGCGGGGGCTGCGGGGCGGCGCGCGGGTCTGCCTAGGCCGCTAGCTAGCTACGCGCGGGGCTGACGAGGCAGCATGCGGGCTGCTAGCGGGCTGTACGAGGGCCAGCAGGGGCGAGCGCGAGGGCTGCGCGACGTAGGGCAGTGTAGGCAAGGGGCGGGGTAACTCGGGAACCGCAGAAAACGGTTGGTGGGCCCTGAAAAACACTCCTAAAACGGTCCTAAGGACCTATGTTGCTCTTAATACCATGTCGAGAGTAAAAGGGAAGGATCGAATTTTGACTATCGAGAGTTTGGTACAGAAATATAACCTAAGGGGTTGTACCCCACAGTGAGTACCCCACTAAAGCCTACCCAAGCTATAACATATAACTATATGTTTGACAGTCTATGGTCTCGTGCACGATGTTCGCGACCAGGTGCTTGTCATTCAGGAACGGATAGAGCTTCGCAAGCACTGCAGCCCGAATCGAGTCCCCAACCTTCTTTGCGTCCACCTTCAAAGCCTTTCCTGCGCGGTCATACTGCTTCATGGTCTTGACGATTACCGCGGTGGCAACCACCACGAAATGCTTTCCCTAAGAGTCAGTAGCGCCCGCGCACAATGCCGTGCGGTAGCCCACAGTCGTGGCATCGTCCACTGTGGATCCCTTAGACATCTGCCACACCATAGCAACCGCGCATGCCACAGCACCAGCGTATAAAGTTTCCGGCTCACCCGCCGGGACCGATGGTTCCTCGTCCGCAGCTTCCATCCCCACAACCGCGGACCACGCCACGACGTTGGTGTTCTCGTTGTCGGAAGTCAGGTACTCACGAAACATGTGCTTCAACCTGAAACGCACAAGTACACGCACACGCACCCACACACATGGTCGATGAATGCTTAAAAGAAAATACCGCGAACACGTGTTTCAAACAAATGCGCACAAGCACAAGCACATGCACACGCACCCACACGCGATACCGCGAACATAAAAAACAATAGAACTACACAATTACCTTTGGACGCTGCCGCACAGATTGTGGAGATGCATAGTGGTGAAGAGACCCGTGGGCAGAAGGTTCGCGATCGAGAGGTCCTCTGCCCATTCAGCCGACTGTTTGTCTGACATGCCCACGCCCTTGTCAACCCTGTGGTCGTATGGCATGAGCGCGACCGAGATCAGGTACTGCACCTCCTGTAGCGAGTGATGCCCTAGCCATCGCTTCTTGCCACCCAGCCAAGGCTCTCCCACCTTCCCCAAACCGCCCCTGGGAGGATCGCGAATACTAACACCCTTCCTCCCACCATCAACTTCACTGCCCTGCGCGAAACACTGCATCACCCTCTCGAGGGGGTCATCGGAGATCGTGATTACAGGCATTGCCGTTGCAAGCTGACCTTCCGCGGCCGCCGGTGGATTGACGTCCGCGGCTGCAGGAGTCGCTGGCTTTCTGACCCGCGCAGCCCCAGGCGTGCGTTTTTCGGCCCCGCGTCCAGACTGCTTGGCTGTCGTGGGTGCTGCACTATGGAGGGTAGACTTGTCTTTACCCGCACCAGTGGAATTCGCGTTCGAGCCTGACGCGACCACAAGGGTGTCGGGCACTTTGACAGTCGGTGCAGCCTGGGGCAGGGCTGGGTCGACCGCGGCAGTCACCTTCTCGGGTTCTCGAAGAGTCATCCCTGCGGTGGGTGGTAGGGGGGGGAAGGAGCCTTCGTACCAACCGCTGGTACAGGACGACTTGTGCCTGCACTTGGACCTCTCGTGCCTGATACCGCACCGCTAGTTCTCGCAACCGGTCCACTCGTGCCCGCGAAGGGAAGGCCGGTACGTGCATCCACGAACCTACCTGTACCCTTCAGAAGGTCGGTGACGCTGGGCTCGCGTACAACCACAGGTGGTGCCGGTTTGGGTCGTTTACCAAGTTGCGTTGGTTGTTTCCCCCCAGCAACCCTCTTCCCGTTATCGGCTAACTCGGCATCTTGAGACCCGGGCGCGGTAGCCTCGCTATCGTGTGGCGGTACAGAGATGTCGTTGTGACGGTTGGAGAGCAGCGCGATTACAGTGTTGATGGCGGCAGGTACGCCGCTGGTGTTGATTCCGCGCTCGGCAGATGTGGCAAGCGTGGTTGACATGCAGTCAAGTTTCCGTGCGACCTGCTGTGACAATTTCTTATGGCCGTCCGCAAAAGAATCTACGCACACGCCCTTCAGCTTTCCGACAAAGTCTTCCACGTGACCTAGAGTCTGAGCCGTAGCGTCCCGCATACTCTTGTTAGCGGCGCGATTGTTGGTCATCTTTCGCGACTCCTTCTGAAACTGCGCCACAAGGTTGCAGACGGCCTTTAGGACCTGATCAATGCTTTCGCACTCGCATGTACTTGAACCACATTCGAGAGCGCATATGCGGTCTTGTTGCTTGCGCAACAACCCGTCAAGACTCAAGTTCTCCCCTGCCAGGAGCTCAGGCCGGACAGAATTCAGCATGTCGTATGTCCTTGGAGGCGGCGGAACTCCCTTTCCAGCGACTGATGCAACGCGAACGTCAGGCTGCATTGCGGCTGCAAGACGCTCAATGCTCTTTCCTGACGAGGTTGGGCGGATCGGGTCACGGCTCGTCTCCATTGCGGTGACATCCCTTGCTTTTTCATCGTCATCGTCATCATCCTCGTCCTCTGCGTCGTCATCCCCGTGCTCATCCACACCATCCCCCCCCTCCTCATCCGATTCCTCCTCACTAATATCCGTAGGCTGGTCACGACCAGCTGACCCTTCCCTCTCCCTTGGTGCAGCGCAATCACCAGGTAAATTGGCAGCCCTCACCGAACCAGCTGTCCCTTCGCCTTCCTGAAGGGTCCCCTCGTTTGTTGCTGTTGGTCCCACCAGCAGCCCCGTTATCGCAGACACGTGGACCATCCACGGACGGTACGACTACCCCCTTGTTCCCCACGGCCTCGCGACCGTCCTTTTCCGCGTGCAGATCCTCTGAAGCCGGCGTTTCAACCATGCGATCGGATGATCCGTCAGCTGCTCGCGGGGTGGCAGTGGCGGATCGTGGGACATCACCAGTCTGGCCTTCAACCGCGACAATTGCCTGCGACGTTGCAACTGGACGCCCCTGCTGCACATATGCGTCCAGAGAGCGTTCATCAGCCACGCGCTTGGCATCTTATCGAAGGGTCGCGAACACTCGGACGTTTGGTTTCTGGAAACGCGGAGGGTCTCCCTGCTCGACCACAGAATCCAGCTCGTGAAGGATGCGGTCCAATGTGTACGCACTTGCATACGCGGCCTTAGGGCCCTTCCACTCGCTCAAATCCTGCAGAAGCACAAAAATACGGATCACGATCCGGTCGCGCATGACGGAAAATAGAACACATGCTGCGAAGGTAAACGCGACCGCGTGTAACAGTACGCACCAAATCATGCGTCTTGTTGATGTCTTCAAGGTGCACCGACCGGCCTTGCTGCACTGTTCCGGGGTCGGACAAGTTGAACAAGCAACCCTTGAACCACCTGTCAACGGGATAGCCCGATCAAGTGTGTACGGTTAGGCATGTGTTCTAGACAGAGGGTAATAAAGAAAGGCCACACACAACAAAAAGGCTGCGCTCATGTAGCGACAGTTTCCATCTTCGCACAGTGGTCGGCTAACGCAGGAGGAGGATTGACACGCAGAAACACGACTTCACTTGGGCTCCATCCGGAAGTGCAAGATGGTCGGGACGAGCGAGCAGCAGCAAGCTCGAGTGTGACTGGCCGTTGGCTTCGGTCGGCCTGCACACTCGCAAGTAAATATTGATAAGGGCCCCACAACCAAACGATGATCGCAAAAGCCCATCTTGCTCCGCACTTACCAGCTCCATAAGCAGAACGCGACTAGCTGGCATTTGAGCATGCCCTCAAATGCCGCGTTGGCGTTAACATCTCCAGCCACGATAGACGCGACAACATCTGTTGTCACAAGCATCGTGTTGTCGCGCAAGGGTTTAGACAGGCACTTCTTGACCTGGACACTGTACAAACGTGATATCAAGATCACATGCAACCGCGATAACAACGGTACTTTAGTGGCATGCAAACGTGATATTAACATCACATGCAACCGAGCTATAACATCCAAACCAGAAAGGGGCATAAAATATATGTGCGAGGTGGTATGGCATGGCCAAGCTGGAGATTACTGCTTGCGAATGGAGGGGCTTGCCTGCTTGTAATTGATCACGCTGAGCTACTAGGGTTTGGTGGTCGACTCACCAACACACAAAATCGAAGCACTTTGCGGTGACGCCAAGCTTCTCGTCCGCGAAAAACTTCCTATTCTCTGCGTCTATCTCTACGACTGCGCGGGCCGTGCGAATGGTCGCGGTGTGATTAATAGCAAGAGATGAGTCCCTCGCTAACGAACTCCACTCATGAGACAAGGCAGGACTCGCCGGCGTGACAACAGTTTCCAAGACAGCTGAGGGGTGGATGAACGCGGTGGACTATTCTACAAAGGCAGGCTGTAACAAGCCAGGAGGGGGAAGGAGGACAAGGAACAAAGTGAAGATAAACTGGAACGAGCAAAATGGTTGATGGGGTCCCCCATCAAACCCTAATAGCTTAGGGACCAAGGCTCCGCGCAGCTGCTGGACGAATGTGCGAGCGCAACGCCAGATAGCGAACGCTGCTGGCGCTGTTACCACGTATGCGCACACAATCTTCATGCACCTGTTCGCACCATCCACGGTTACCACATAATTTGTACGCGAAATGAAATAACACGACACCTCGACTTGCATTTTTATAAGCATGATACACGCCCCACACCAGATTAACAAAAAAATGCTGCTTGCTAAGATTTGACGGGGGATGAAAAATGGGGGGGGGGGGGGGCGCAAAATTTATGCAGGCCCTGCGGAGAGGCGAAAAACATTCGCGTCGCAAGCTGACGTAACGCTGGAGAGCGTTGCGACAGTCGCAACACACCCGGCACACCAGCGGGAGGGGTTTGCAGGGGGGTTTCGGGGTCAATGGCTGGGCTCGGCTGGGTTGCGTGGCGCTGGCGTGGCAGGGCTCGGCGTGGGGGGGGCTCGCCAGCATGCTGCGCCGCCCGGATTACGGTAGGGACCAGCAGGGGGGCGGGGGAGTGGGCCTTGTGTGCGGGGCAAGGCGACGGGGGCTGCATCCGCTAGGCGACGCTGGAGGAAACTCGTTCCTCCAGCAGGGGGAGTTGGAGCAAAAGTTCGCTCCAGCACCTGGATGGACTGCGCAGTTGCATTCATGATACAAAGTGGGTTGCTAACGTGACGCGTAGATATTTCAGGGCTGGAATGCCAAAAGAAAAAAAGTCAAAATCGTAGAGACATTTACATCAGGACCAGCCGTAATGAGACAACTGGACTCGTGCATCGGACTACATAACGACATTAAATTTTAAATATAGCAAAGAAAGTACATTTTCAGCCCACAAATCCACTGGCATGTTCAAAGAAAATTTTGCCTTTTTCTTCAAGCAATGCAATTTTGCAAAAGTATATAGCAAAAACACTGGGTAATCTCTCTTTAATTAGACCTCTTTTGATTATTGTCGAGAATTATATCATCAAGTGTAATAATTATTTTCGACTTCCCATGTTTTATATAAATTAAAGTGCAATATGTCACAATTGATTACTATAACGCCTTATATAAACCTTTAACTCTAAAAAAAAAACAAATTGCATAACAATTTTCGCGTATTCAGGGTAAACCATGTCTGGCCAGAGAATGTGTCGTCCAACAAATCTGACCACAAACTTTGTTGAGGGTGTTTATGCTATTATGAAAAAGCAAGAAACGCGTTGCGAGGGTGGTCGATAGGATTGAGCAAAATTTGAGAATCGTCACGTCGCGCAATTATTTCCTAAATATGGCTCAGTCGAGCTAGGCGAGGACCTCAACGTATATGATGTTTGGAAGTGGGGCGAAAGTGGCAGTGGAGATTCGGAAGTGGTTCGGGGCGAAAATGTAGGTCGAACTGTCAGAAGTACGAACGACAATGAATTGACTAACAGTAGGATGGGTACAAGTGCTAACACTAATTGGGTTGTACCCCATATGGGCTACCCCACTACAACCTACACAATAAGCAGCATATAAGTTTGACACACCCCCATAGGCAAAGTGGAGGAGAACAAGAGGTCACAAGACCGGTCAACAAAAAGCAAAGCAAGCTCAGGGTGGATCACGAAGTCACCACGTAGTCTGAGCACAAGCAAATGGCCACAAGGCCACTTCACATGCAGAATTATATATATAGAGGACAACAAGCAGTACAGTGATCACAACCTAGCAAGTGTAAGCATGCAGGTATATGTATATCGATCACAGTACAGGTAAAGTGAAGAAGTGAGCAAGTGAGGCAAAGTAGGCACAAGGCCTAGAACAGTACAGAAACGCTGATGATCACAAGGCTGAAGTGCCTTGGTGAAGATATCAGCAGTGTTCGCCTGAGAGGCCACGTAAACAAGACGAAGCTGACCACGTTGCTGCAACTCTCGAGCAAGGAAGTAGCGCAGAGCGATGTGCTTCGTTCTGTGCTCCAGTCTGTGCTCCTGACACAAGGCAATCATGGCCTTGTTGTCGACGTACAGAACTGGAGGAGAACGAGGCGGCTCTCCCAAGTCGGTCAGCAGGTAGGTGAGCCAGCGTAACTCCTGTGCAGCCATGCGCCCTGCGTAGATCTGAGCCTCACAACAGAAGTTGAGAACAGAAGACGAGCGGGTAGACCGCCACAAAACAGAGCCGGAGCCAAGGCTGAAGGTGTAACCCTGTGACGACCGTTGCGTAGCCAAGTCGTCAACCCAAGAAGCGTCTGCGTGACCAGTGAGGACAACTCGAGCCCGTCCTCCAAGCATGAGCCCCATGCCCGACGTACTGCACACGTAGCGCATCACCCTCTTAGCGGCCTTCCAGTGCTCTGGTCGGTGTATCCCGGGCGCAACTTAGCGTGCCAGGATGCTAAGAGGGTAAGCAAGGTCAGGTCGAGTGCAGGTCATCAGGTACATGAGGCAGCCCACAAGCTCTGGATACGGGCCACTCGACTCTACGGACTCATTCGAAGGCAGAACTGAGAGCGAGTGACTGGTAGGCAGAGGAGTGGACTGTGGCGAGGAGTACTGGAAGTCAAAGCGCTGAAGGACCTGCTGCACCATGTGTGACTTAGTCAAGGTAATGGTGCGCTGTGCTCTGTCCCGGGTGATCTACAAGCCAAGATAGCTGCGCAGCTCACCCAGGTCTGTGCACGTGTGTCTCTTCTGCAGCTCCAACTTCACGTGGGCCAGTCCAGCAGTGTCAGCAGTGGCAAAGACCAAGTCGTCGACGTACACGAGGATGTAGAACGGCGGTAGTGAAGTGTCGGTGCGTAGAAATAGCGACGAGTCAGCAGTCGAAGGAGCAAACCCAAGAGCCGCAAGTGTAGTCCTCAGTGTGTCGTGCCACTCGCGAGGTGCCTGGCGGAGACCGTAGACTGGCCGCCGGAGGCTCCACTGGGTACCTGCAGGAAACGACCCAGTGAAGCCAGGTGGGCGGCGCAGCCAGATCTCCTCGTGCAGGCTGCCCTGTAAGAAAGCTGTGCTGAAGTCAAGAGAGTGAAGCTCGTAGTCACGCTGAGCGGCGACGTGTAGCAGAACCCGAAGAGTGGTCATCTTCGGGGTAGGGGAGAAGGTATGGAAGAATTCAAATCCCTGTCGCTGACTGAAGCCTCGTGCAACGTAACGCGCCTTGAAGACAGGCGGAGGACCCGGCGGCCGCTTCACCCTGAAAATCCACATGCCACTGACGATGTTCGCCCCAGGTGGGGGAATGTCGTCGACGTAAGTGCTTGTGGACTTCCAATATGCCATCTCTGCGTCCATGGCTGTCTGCCACTGAGAGGAGTAGGGACCCTCTAT